TTAGACATGTGACGTAATCATTATACACGTGACGTAACCACTAAAAATCTGACGCGCTGAAAATAAGTACGGAAACAAATCAGGCGCAAATTTGCTTAACTATCAAGTACGGCAACATTTATTTGTTGATGTCGTGTTAGAATCGAAATAATATATCCAAATCAGTGATTTTATCGCTTGATAACATCACTATTTGTCGTTCGAATGTGCATCATTATATCACTCGGGCTACACCCTCGTGATATAATTCCTCGCATCCGAACTCCAAACAGTGATGTTATTGAGCGATAAAATCACTGTTTGGGATATATTATTTCTTAAATATATATAATATAAAACATACTTGCAAACATGATTGATATAAAAAAGCTTTTCGGTGATATAACGTATAATGAAATTTCCCTGGGAAAATAAATATTAATTTGATTTTTTATATGAGTTCTGAAAAAATTATCAGCTGTAAAACTACATGCATATATTTATTCTTTTTTTTTTCAAAAAATTAAATTCCATAAAAAGATATTGATAAAATATGTTTTAATATAACAGATAAGAACGATTATAGAAGTGTGAAAAGCCTAATGAAATTTTAATGAATTAAAGTGTTATATTAAGAATAAACTTCTATTTTGGGCCCGAAACTGTAAGCGAGAAAAAAATGAGGAAAATGGAGAAACTTGTCAACCTCATGCACCGCGATCCATAAGTGCCAGGAGGGGAGGAGTGTTGGACTCCAATAATTTGTGAATCATGTGTAAACTGTAAAGTATATGGATTTACCAAAAGAGCAGCGCATCAGAAAATATGTTTCATAGTATTGAAATTGAAATTTATTGACATTTTATGCACTATATGTTATAATATGCTATATTATTATTAAGGAACATTAAATGCCTAATACCTTCCTTTTTTGTTACTATCACAAGTTAAAAAAAAAGAAAGGTGCTGCTTCACCAGGACTTTAACCCGGGACCCTTGGAATACCGTTCCGCCACTCAACCGACTGGACTATATTGTATTAGGCTGCTTACGCATCATCTCCCTATATAGTGAACAGTTTGGAACCATTACATATTCCCCTGCTTTATTTAAATTCGTCCTTGAATGGGTACAGTGAACAATGTGAAATAGGACTTTGAGTTTTATACCATCCATCACAGTCCCCTTTGGAATAGGTGATGGTATGAAACTTCAAGGCCAATTTCACATTGTTTTATTACTAACTGTTGGGAGTCAAATGTCAAAGGGTGAGAAAAATATGCAGCCTGACTGGGACTTGAGCTAGGGACCCCTTGAATACAGTGTCGAAGCTGACTACCGACTAAGCTATCAGTCTGCTTGCACATCTTCTCCCCTCAATAGTGAACAGTTCTGAGCTGTAAAAATGAAAAAATCAGTTTTACAGTATATTTTTTGTGATTCCATATACCATGCAAGTAATGGTTCCCTGACTGGGAAGGGAACACTTCCTTACTGATAGTGGATCTGAACCCCTCTGTCTGCATTATAGGACATTTGTCATACCTTTTCTTATTTTTCAATGAAATTTGGTGGATTTTTTTTCATATCAATCAAACAGATGTAATTGTTACTCAATATTATAGTAATATGTTGCCTTACTAACTTGGTTTCATTTCCTAGGAGGTTACAATAAGGTAAAATTACCCCCATTTTCTAAAGATGTAATGTATTTGCTTGAACAAATAGGCATCATAGAAAATTTACCCTGTCTTTCTTCATTGTCAATATAATTCAATGGGTTTTCTTATTTTAGTCAATTAGATGTAGTAGTTACTTGATAGTATAACATTATTTGGCTTTACTTACTTTGTTTCAGTGACCAGAAGGTTATAACTTGATAAACTTACCCAAATTTTCAATGATTTAGTGTGGTAATGTTATTAATAAGGCATTATAGAAAATTAGCCATTATTTCTTAATTTTCAATGAAATCTGTTGGGATTTTCTTATATAAGTCAATTTGATGTAGGTATAACTTAATATAATAATACTATGTTGCTTATATAACTTGATTCATTTACCATGAGGTTATAATCAGGTAATATTACTCCCATTTTTAATGAATTAGCGTGTAAGCTTGTATAGTTATACATCATAGGAAATAAGCCATAATTTTCTGAATATTCAATGTAATTTATTGAGATATTCTTATTTTAATCAATTAGATATGCTTGTTAATTAATATCATAGATTTATGTTGCACTTATAATTCTGTTTCATTTCCTAGGCTGTTATAATAAGGTAAAAATCCCCATTTTGTAGTGAATTGGTGTTCTATCTTGAGACAGTAAGGTATCTTAGGAAATTTGCAATAACTCTTATATTTTGTAATGAAATTTGGTGGAACTTCCTTACTTAAGTCAATTAGATATGTTTGTTAATTAATATGATAGATTAATGTTCCTCCTATAGCTTTGTTTAATTTCCAAGGCTCTTATAATTAGGTAAAATTTTCATATTTTGTAGTGATTTAGTGCATTATCTTGGACATTTAGGCATCTTAGGAGATTTGCCATAATTCTCATATTTTGTAATGAAATTTGTTAGGACTACCTTATTTTAGTCAATTAGATATGTTTGTTAATTAATATAATAGATTTATGTTATATAAAAAAAATTCTGTATCATTTCCTAAGAGGTTAAGTTTAAGGTAAAATTACCCGGTGTATCAACATTTTATGTGGCACTGCTTTCTTTAATAGTTGGGGTCCACATAGAATTTACTATAACATTTATATTTTTCATGGACAATTATTGAAATCTTCTTTTTTAAGTCATCTTATTAAAGCTTTTAATTAATAAAGTTTATTTGGATTGAGTTATCAATTACATTACTTTTCATATGGATCTTGTATTATGCTCTTTTTAATGAACTGACCTACCTATGAAGCATAAAATTGATATTGTAGGAAAATTAAAATTACAATCAATTGAAATTGTACAGGTCCCAAAAGATATATTAGTATGCAAAATGGGTTTTTGTAAATTTATATAAATACATAGGTGATATTTAAGTATATTATAGTTAGAATTTTATCAGTTATGAGGTTTATAACTTACTTGAGGGAAGTTAAACAAGTGACTTGGGACTACAGCATACCTATCTAAAAATCTTCAAAGAATTATATGGTTATATATGGAAAGGTTATATACTTTTAAGTTAGCAAAGGGCGACACAGGCTCATCTCGGGTATCTCAAAGGGGTATTATGTTAAGTAATGATTACGGATTGATAAACCTTAAAAGTGATTTTAGATAATATACAGAAAAAAAATCAAGAAAGCTATATATGTTTATCAAAGTGGGTTATATTATGGACCTCATATAAGATTAAGATATATTTGAGCCGCGTCACGATAAAACCAACATAATGGGTTTGCGACCAGCATGGATCCAGACCAGCCTGCGCATCTGTTCGCCATCAGTGTTATAAGGTTTGTAAAAGCCCAGGCCACATACAAAAATAGTAGTCTATGCCTTGATTATGAGCTGTCAGATAGGGGAATTTTGTAAAGGGTGGCTAAATAGCCTGTCTGTTGTGATTACATGTCTAAAAAGTACAACATGGTATATATTAGCCACCATAGAATTTTTTATCTAGAAAAAAATCTAGCTATTTTTATTTGTACAAAAATATAGAAATAGTACAATGTATAATTATTAAAATGTTCACTATACATGTACAAATAATGAAACTATTAACAAATGTCGGTACAGCTGCGGTACGGTATTTAGAGGGTCACGGGTTCGAGTCCATGTCAGGATGCACTTTTTTCTCACCCTGTGACTGACATACATTTGTATAGCCCAGCTAGAAATTAATTCACAATGCTAAGTAACCCTGGGAAATTCGAAGAAATATTTGCATACACAGTAGGTTTATAACTATTCAGTATTTAAACAAGTAAAACGTGTAAGCGGCCGAATAGCTCAGAGGAACTCAAGAGCCGCGGAATCGTATTCCGAGTGTCAGGGGTTCGAGTCCCTGCCAGGCTGTTACATATCAATATAAATCTGTCAAGAAAAATAGGAAGGAACTGTCTAAAATAATTATCACCCTAAATAGTATTCGGATAGAATTAAAATTAAATTAAAAATTAAATTCGGACAGTCTTTGATGAAAAGTCAGAAGATGAACTTGTAAAGGGGGTGGGGTGCTAGTCTGATTACCATCATTTGATGTCTGACGAACTTCATATCTAATATATATTGGTACGCATATAAACACCTGTTTGCTGAATTGAATATCAAAAATGTTGCAATTAATTAGTAATTATATCTTATGCGTATGTAAAATAGGATTAAAACTAATTAACCTTCGGCGTAAAGCATGTAGAAATCTGACCAGTATTCACCGCGAGGTCACAAACTTTAAAACTTTAATGTAAATATCACAATAATACTTCTTTATATAATATTTCTATTCTTTGACAGGGACACAGAACATCTCTTACATGTTTAAGAAACAAGAAATTTACATAATATATCTAAGATATTCTTTTACTTCTCAATAGTAAGTTAACAGACGCAAAACGCTTAGACGAACGCAGACGCACGCTAAACGTTTCTGGGAATAAGAAACGCACGCTTTCAGACGCACGATAAACGAAAAACGATACACGGAAAACGATAAACGTTAAACGCTTGTAAACGATGCACGCTTGAGAAAGCGTTTCAGCAAACGCACGTTGCACGCTATACGCACGCACGTTACACGAAAAACGGACGCACGAAAAACGCTATTTTTGACAACCGAAACGTTCACCCTACTGTAAGATACTCTTAAAGGTAGAAGACAGAAAATACTCCGGGAAACTGGGATTTGCAGCCAATATAACAACACCATTTTACAGTGGCCACCCCACTAAAACTGTTCAATTCAAATTCCAAATACTCATTCAATGTGTGATTAACAAGATCAGTTTTATTGACTTAAATGTTTACTGAAATGTATGATGAATGTTTATTTTATATTTCAGTTTCACCAAAGTTGCTTTTAAGAATTGGTGATAGAATATTTGCTGGAGCTCCTGAGAGCACAGTCAATATAACAGCACCATTTTACAGTGACCCTCCACCTCAAATTGTGCAATTCAAATTCCAAAATGGCATTGTGATAAAAAACTCTACCAAATATAGAGTGTCATTCTTTAAAGGAAACGTCAAGGACATGTTTTATGGAAAAGAAGTGGAACTAGATGGTTACTTTGCTCAGCTTCAAATAAAGGACGAGGAAGAATCAGATTTTGATAACTACACCTTGGTCATTGATAACGGGATTGGATCTTATAAATCATGGATTTTGAAACATGTGTCCCAAAGTATGTCCTTATTATTGTTATCATTTCAAAAAATAACACTCTGTAATACTAGTGTTTGGAGTGTCATCGTATGCGCAAAAAAAATATTTTCTATCAAAGTTTTCATAGCTACTATTCCTGCACTACTATCATTGATATGTAAGGAGAAAATTGCTTATGCGTATTTTATTGTATTGCTGTTAATGCTTTAATCATTCAGTTGTTACAATTAAAGTCTGTATAAAGTGTGTAAAACATAATAGGCAGTAATTGTTAATCTCTTTTAAGATGTTTTATTTTCTTATACAACGAAAATGTTGTCATACATAGCCTTCTAATTTGTATTTTTGAATTTCTGCATTAAGCAAGAAATGCCAACGAACCGATTATTGAATTCAACCAAATAAGAAGTATATGTTCATTAAGGTATGATCCACCTAATGCATTACCTCCACTTTGAAGAGTATTCAAATAGGCTAGAACTACTGTCATCTGCATTGTAACTGAGGGGCGTGGGTTCAAGCCCCAGAAGCGGCAACTATTTTTTCTTTCTTTTTTTTTTCTTTGAACATTATTTGTGTCTCTCATATCTATCTTGAGAAGAAAAATAGTGTTTCATTTTAATTATGAAATTATTATTGGTATTTATTGGCTAAATTGTGCCAAATATTTCATCAGATATGGTACCTGATATTTGCAAAGTATAATAAAATAAAAAAAATAGACGGTAAAAGTATTTTATATTTGACAAGCGCAACCATTATTCTTTTAAGAAAATTTATGCACAATTTGAAAACAGCCCCTGATTTGAGTAAATTTAAGGGATATTTTGAATAAGGCCCTTCAAGTAGAAAATGATCGAACAAGTACTTAAAATGGGTGGAGTAGGGTAATATTTATATACATATTTCAAACATTTTGAGTAGAAACAATAATTTTGCTGGGTCATTTGCTAGCTGAATCCTATTATATGTTTCTCAAAAATGTTCTGTAGGAAAACATTTTTTCATAATGATTATATAATAGAATATTTAGAGTTTCTCATTTCTGAAAAGGAACCCTTCTAATAACCAAGTTTTACTTAAGAAAAATATCCATAACTCGCAAACTATACGATAAACTTTGTTTAAATTTTGCATTCTTGCGTCTTTTAAGGTATACAACTGACATATGTTGTCATTTTTATAGTTCATTATAGTGCCCATTTGGGGGCTCATACCTTAAAGACAATCAGAATACAGCTATGCTCTAAAAGGAATTCAAAAAAGATTCCATTGAAACTGAGAATGTCTTTTACATTTATCCATATAACTGCTATGTCGGATGCGTATGAATTAAATTTCATCCATATATGCTATAATATGATGGCCCTTCATATATATATGATAAAAAGTGACGGAACAAGAAAAATTATTCCTAACATTTTTAAAAGATGTTCTCAGTTTAATTTATTGCCTACCGGTTTCTATAATCATCAGGGCAAATAAAAATAAAACCATAGATATATATATATATATATATATATATATATATATATATATATATATATATATATATATATATATATATATATATATATATATATATATATATATATATATATATATATATATATATAAAGGAGGCTTTTGCAAAACTATTTAAAAGCACATTACAGAACAACTATTTCTTAAACAAAAATGTTCTTTTATCAAGCAAAAAGTCATTAGAAAATAATGATTAAATATCCTAAGCGACAAATATCCATTTTTAACATTTTTCATTTTAAGGCAAACCATCAGTTCCTAGGTATTTCAATTTCACCGGCTTCAAAGATGGAATACCAACATTTCTTTTAGTCGGCAATTTCAACGGAGGACTTCTTCAAACATTTGTTGTAGAAACAACTGAAGCTGGAAAGGACAACTGGATGGAGAGACTTAAATTTAATGAAACTGATACAGCATTTCTTCAGGCCGAGAAACTTACCTTTACTTTCAACATAAGCGGGTTGCAACCTAATGTATATGATGCTAGAGTACGCACTGGAAATGATATCGGCTGGATAAATGAAGCAGAATCGCCAACTGTCAAATTTACAATTTATAGTTCTAGATTAGGTGAATATGTAATTTTGTATTTTTAAATTAAGTGGTATTTTATACAGCTTTTGTTTAATTTTGAAATAATAGTGATCTTAAAATATTCTTTCACCTTTTAGCATTGTGGGTTGAAAGAGGTTCAAACTACTAGAGTCTATGCATCACTTCGCTCCAGCAGGTTAGGTTGTTGGCTTGCAGCCACGGCTGCAAGCCATCTGTTTTGGAAAAAATGTTCCGGTTAGGTGGTTTCCTGCTTCCATGTGTTAGTGCATGATTGAACGCGAAACCAGCTGCTATCGTGCCAATCGCAATTTTTCGGCCCTTTCCGTCACTCTTCGGATCAATGATAATAGCCGATGTAGTTCCGACTTCAATCGTGACAATTCGGGCGATTCCGTCACACTGCGATTTCAGACGAAGTAATATTACGGAAATCTAAGCTATTTTAGTTACTTCGGTAATCCCAGTTTGTTAATATAAATAGGATTTCTATTTTTACTTGATTTATCGGTTTAAACCGTAAAAATTACATACGAGATTGTTCCGTTACAATTCTTTTTCAAGACGCAAAAGTTAGTTTCTTTTATAATTGTTTTTTGTTTGTATTAGTTTTATACAATCGAGAATGGTTACTGTAGTAATATTCCGTCTCCAAAGAGTGGTCCTGCTTACCAAATCACACAGAATATTAGTGTATGATCGAGTTATATTTAGATCTACTGAACACAGTTCAACGTCTTGGTGAGGTTATCTAAATATAGCCCATGCATATCATTAACCTTACCACGTGCTGATCTACAGATAGCGCATCGTATCTGTGGTCGTGTAACATAGTTGATACATGCTTTAATTTTAAATTGGGTCCACGTAACGAAGTTTTTAGTGCTTTTAACTGTCTATAAAGCTGCTTATCAATAAAATTAGCAACGCCAAAACGAATTTTTCTCGCATAAAGGGGAAATAAAAATCGCACCTAGTCTTTTTTCCCCTTTCTATGATGAAGATTCCACGTAGTATTTTTACGATTGATTATTTTCTTTATTAGTTTTATACAATAGAGAATAGATTTCAAATCGTTTTGACAGAAAATATTCGTTTTTACAAAAAAAAAATAAATAAAATAAACCATTTATGATACACAAAATTAATACCGTAATTCAAAAAATTGTGATTATAAATTGAAAAAAATAAAAAATAAAGGGTTGGGATGAATGCACAACTGAGCAAGCCTTTCCTTTTAAAAGGAAACCTTATTTTGATCCCTGGTGTTGCTTTTAATTTCTAACAGCCAACGTTAGCCACAAACATCATTTCTGTTTCGGTGCCATAAGACTTATATTATGTTGAGGCGCCGTTAAAAAACATAAACAAAAAGTCAAATATAAATAAACTGGTTCCGTATTTGAAATAGATGTATATCAAATTGTAAAACAGTTATGTAATTATAATTTGTAACGTGTACATTGTAGAGACTATCTTTAATATATGAAAGCTGTGACTACATTATTACATTTTAGAAAGAGAGGCTAAGAATCAAATTGCAGTAGTAATAGGGGGTGTTGTTTCTGTGGCTGTTGTAATTGCATTCGTTGCTCTTTTTTTAATTTTACGAAGAAGGTTTTACAAAAGAAAAGGTAAGCTGTATAGATGTAGCTTTGCTAAGAATATTTTTTTAAGAAATTGAAATTTTAGCCGTAATTACTCAGGACACGAAAATTGAAGAAACAACTGTACAAACCAATAATCCTGTTCAATGTTGTTTTTTCCTCTATATTGTTTATCTATTGTGTTGTCGTTAAATGATGTTATTTGATATGGTTTAGAGCAATTTATTCTTTTGGAGAAGTACACAGTCGTCGAAACTATATTGGACGGGGCGCTATCCATATTTTATTAACTCTTTATTTCACACAATCATTTTGTTGGCATTCTGACAGAATTGTCTATCTTTGATATAGATTTTTGAAGTATCAAAATGAAAACAGGGCTAGCTGAAATATGATATGCATTTGAAAAAGATTATTTGGATAAAAAAAATTTAACAATGATATAGAGGGGTGGAATTTGGATGTGATATAAAACATTTGGACCCATACAATGACAATAAGCCTATGTGGGTGTAATATGGATTTTAATTTGGATATTTTGGAATCGCTCTAGTAAGCTCTGGAAATGAATACGAGCTTTAGTTGATCCAATATTGAGTTCTGCTGAAGCATTACGTGTTGGAAATTCTGAAAGTGTACTGATTTTATTTTTAAATATGTGTAGTAGTAGTGTTCAACTGTTGTTTTGTGTTTTCTTCGTTTTGTAAATTTCAAATGTATTTGATATTCATTTTAATTAATTATTGATAATAACTTTCGTAACATTACTTTTACCAAAAAGGCTATCTTTTTTCAGAATGTAATGACAATGGAACATCGGAAAGGTAAAAATCGTAGCCTGTAATAAAGTGTAACATAGTTTTGTATATTGTCGACACCATACAACTATGTATAAATATTAAGAGATTTTTATTTCTATCTAACAGAAATGTTTAAAATATTTGTATTTGTCTGTTTGTTTCATTTTACGCCTTTTTCCAACAGTATTTCAATCATATAGGCGGGTAGTTTCCTACAAGTCATTGACTCTAACCACTCGACCACGGATATTTGTATTTAAAATAGGTAAAATTATGTTGTTTTTTATGGGGAATAGTCGAAAAAGTTGTAACATGGAATGTTTCTGAAATTTAAAACACAAGAAATCTGTGCCTGAATAGAATGAATAATAAATGTCCCTCAACAAAATAAAATGCAGCGATGTCAAGTACATGTTTAACCGTTTAACAAAGGTTTTAAGCATGAACTATCCTGTCAATATGAAATTTTGTATTTTTTTATATTTTTTTTACTTTTTTCAAATTGCAGGCAACAGAAGTTTAGGTTATTACACAATTTAATTTAATTTAATTTACTAATTTTAATTTTAATTTTTTTATTGTTGACAATATAACAACACTGCAACGTTTGTAGGATCAATCACATAAGTAAAAGGAAAAAGGTACAATAAACAACCGTTCTATAAAGAGCAAACATTTTTTCGTAAAAAGTTTTGTTTTTGTTTCATAGAATTTCTGTCCATTTATGGAAAATTGAACGCCATTTTTTATACGACGTCGCCATAGTGACTATGGGTAATACTTAAGTATAAATGGGTTTTATTTTTGCTGTCAGACCATAAGCATAATTCCCGAAAGTATTTGTGACGAATGTTTCATCACGATAAAGGCACAAATGAACAAAATATAAAACCTTCCCGGATACTTTTCAAATAGCCTCCGCAAGTTTAAGAAATTCAAAGTGTTATCAAGAAGCCCTTTTGTCAGCATCAGTTACACTTCTGTCATTTTTTTGTAAAAACCATAATAATACAATTATTCGTGCAATAAAAATATGTCTCAATATGTCTGTCTTTTTTGCAAATGAAATAAATACTTTAGAACAAAATAATGAATATGAAGGAAATGGTCATCTGACAGAATACGAATGCGGAATTGCTCTTAAAGACATGAAAAATAGCAAAAGTACTGGAAGTGGCGGTATAACTACTAATTTTTACAAAATATTTTGGAATGATCTAAAGCAATATCTTACTAATTCTTGAAACTACTCTTATGATAACGGAAATCTTACGGAACTTCAAAAACAAAGTATTATTACTCTACTTCCAAAGGAAGACAAAGATACTTTATCAATAGATAATTGGCGTCCGATCTCTTTGCTAAATGTAGATAACAAAATTGCGACAAAAGCAATTGCAAATAAAATAAAAAACAATCTTCCAAATATTATCAGTCCAGAGCAAACAGGCTTTATCAAAGGTATATATATTAGGGAAAATGTTAGAATTTTACAAGAGACAATCGAATATATTAATCATTTAAATGAAAAAGGGCTTATGTTTTTTTTTCAGATTTCAATAAAGCCTTTGATAGTCTTGACCATAATTTCATGAAAAAATGATTATTGAAATTTAAATTTCCTCATCATATTATAAATTGGGTTGGCCTGTTTATAAAGATGCAAAATCGTGTATACATAATAATGGACATCTATCCAGTTTCTTTAAAATAGAAAAAGGCGTTAGACAAGGGTGTTCTTTATCCCCTTACCTATTTATTATTTGTATAGAATTACTCTCTAATGAAGTTACCAAAATAAAAATATAAAAGGCATGAAGATTATAAGATAGTAAGATAGGAAACATTAAACTAAAACAAACACTTTTTGCCGATGATGCATGTTTTATAACTGATGGAGAAAAAAGATCGTTTCTAACACTTATTTCAACACTATTTTTTTTTAAATATATCAGGCCTTAAATTGAATAAAGATAAATGTACTATTTTAAAACTTGGAAGTTTAAGAAATACTCATATCAATTTCTGCAATGACAATAATTTTAACTGGACATCTGAAAAAGCTAGCACGCTCGGTATAACTTTCACTAATAACATAGACGAAATGCTTAACACTAATTTAACACCTAAACTGAAAGAGTTCGATCAATGTTTGCATAAATGGAAACGATGGAAACTAAGTCTTTTTGGAAAAATAACCGTTCTTAAAACTTTTTTATCCTCTCACAGTTTTACATAACCCAGACCAAGAAATCATAAATAGAATAAAATAAGCTCATGTTTAACTTTCTATGGGACAACAAACCAGACAAATTATCAAGAGATAAGATTATTCAAGGTTACCAACATAGGGGGCTTAAAATGTTAGATATTGAAAGTTGTATACATTCCTTAAAATGCTCCTGGGTTAAACGCATTAAATTGCAGCAACATTCAAAATGGGTTAATGTATATGAAAATATGTTAAATAGGAAAACAATTTATATTTAAATGTAATCTAAACATAAAAGATATTGAAAATTTAGATATAGGATCTTCATTTTTAAAAGACGTACACAGTGCTGGTCGTATGCAAACTTTAATAAAGAAATAACTGATGTTGGTAAAGAAATTATATGGAACAACACGAATATAAAACTAAGTAACAAACCATTTGTTTTCTGTGAATGGATGGAAAAGGGCGTAATCTTTATCGAACATATATACGAGTATAGGAAGAAACAATTTTAGAGCTTTAACGAAATCAAAAACCTTTATGGCATAGCTAAATCAAACTTTTTAAACTATCATCAACTCATAAAATGCATAACAAAAGAATGGAAAATAAATCTAAAATCTGAAAGGATACAATACAAAGCTAATAACTACTTAATTGATAAATTAAAACCGCAAATTAAAACCTGCCGATTTATTTATACTATGCTTATTCAAGAGAAAACAACAAACAATCATCAAGAAAACAAACGGGAAGCTGAACTCTCAGGCAACTTTGAATGGAAAAATATATTCCATCAAATAATAAACACAACGATTGATACCAAACTTTGAAGTTTTCAATATAAATATCTTATGCGTATTTTGCTAAACAATGAAAAACTCTTTAAATATAATATGGTGGAGTCAATGTTATGCGATTTTTGCAACTCGGCACCAGAATCTAATGTACATTTATATTGGGAATGCTCAAAATTCAACCATTTTGGTGTCAAATCAGGACATTTTACAAACAAAAAATTCTACAGACAAAACGTTGGTATCATACTAAACTGTCAGTTTGTGTAATGTGAATATTCAAAATAATATGATATCAAACTGAATTAACAATATTTTACTCTTAGGTAAATATTTTATATTTAAAAATAAATACCAAAAAACCGTACCAAACTTCAGTGAATTTTTAATTCTTAGATATAAACTTAGTTTAGAAAGACTCATTGCTGAAATGAAAAATAAGGTCGATGTCCATAACAACAAGTAGAGCATATACACATCATAAACATATGCGACTGACTGGAATCTATTAAATATTATTTATATAATGTATGAAATGTATTTGTTTGTATGAACTGGATAACAGAAATATGTCTCAATGTCCATAAGTTAACAATATATTGTATTGGTGTAATGTTCACTTATTTTAACTCAAAATGTAAATGATAATACAAAATGTGTTTATAACTTTGCTTATATTGAGTGTGCCCAGAATAAAAAGGAAAGAAAAATAATGAAACGTACTGCTAGCTCTACTACATCTGTTTGTACTACTACAAACAATGCCACCACTTCTACTGCTAATACTATAATACTACCACTATCTCTACTGCTAAAACTCCACTACTTCGGTTTCTACCTACCATTACCACTACTGCTAAAACTACAGGTATTTCCATTATTATCTAAGGTGTAACACATTTCATTAAGAATTAATGTAATTGTATATCGAATATTTCAGTCGAACCTATGAAACTCTTGATAACAAACGAGACGAAGCCAATACCTACAGCTCAGTAGCATCATTTACAGGTAAAATGTATTTTATCAAGATTCCTTGACAAGTTGTAGTATTTAATATTTGGCTTATTTGCAATATTTTACATAAAGGTCTATACAATAAATAGTTTTTAAGAGTTTCTAACATTTTTTTGATGTTAGAATATGAGGAAGATTGGTAGTGTAGGGGTGAAGGTTCTTTATCCGAAGGTCAAGAATACCAACTGTGGTTGAATTAACTTTTGAATTCAATAATTTCCACTTCGTGAAATATTTATATGCTTCCCGAAGGAAGAGCATATAATCGCCGCTTTGTCCGTCCGTCTGTCCGCAATTTGTTATGGACATAACTCTAAAACCACAAGAGGTATCAATCAACAAGACAGGCAGATAGATCTTATTGAGTAGAAGTGCAGTGCATAAGGACCATGACTCTGCCTTGCCTAGTGTTGAAGTGATTGCCCTTTTCTTATTTTTACATTTTGAACATAATTTTAAAACCACAAGAGGTTTATAATCAACAAGAAAAGAAATTATATCTCATCGCGTAGAACTAAATTGCATAAGAATCGTTACTCTCTGCCTTGCCTTATTTTGGAGTAATTGTCCTTTTTTCAACTTAACATTTTGAAACTTTGTCTGGAACATAACTCTTAAACTATTAGTGGTATCATCAAGATACTTATTAATTAGATATATCTGATTGAGTAACTCTGCCTTGCCTTGTTTTTGAGTTCTTGTCCTTTTCGAGTTTTTTGACCGAGACATAACTCTAAATACAAAAGAGAAACAACAAGTGGTAGCAACAAGAAGCTTACTAGGTTGATAAATCTCTATGAGTAAAAGTGCATTGCAAAGCACCGTAACGTTGCCTTCCCGAACTTTGGAGTTATTGCTATTTTATTTGTGTGTCGCTTCTACAGAGTATTTTCTGGTAAGATGATTTTTATTAGACTTATATTCCTTTAAATAATTTTACTTGTTTTTCCGGACAAGTCCTTTTATACCACTTGTGCAATCCATCTTTACAGGATTGATCGGTAACTAAAGAACACGCGAATATTTTCCGTTTGAATGATTTTTTGGCTGAGTAATGAATGGCCTTTGAATAAAAAGACGCGTTATGCATTGTTAATGATCTTTTTGTCTCCTGCTACAAAAAAGCTGTTTTTACAGATCGATCCAATTACACTTTGAACTTTGTTCCGGACTTACCTCTGAAACTACAAGAAATTTCAACAATAAACTCTTAAACCCTGATTAATGTGATATTTAAAAGAAAACAAACTCCATGTGCTTGATATTGTTTTAATTGTTTGTATATAAAGTAAAATAGAAGTGTTTTACACCAAATTAGAGTATACCTTTGAATTTTACTTGCACACTTTTCACTGCACTACATTTTTAGTTGAATATTATCGCATGACCGCCACAACTTTTCTTTGAAGATCAGCGTTCGTATTGGAAAACTTTAGGTTGCTCTTAATGAGGTTTTTGTACGCTTTGAGGAGCTCTAAATGAGGTATCAGTACACTTTCTCGCGCATGTCCAGTTTATTATTGTATTTCAAAAAATAAAGTGAGCATACCTGAAAAAGAGCAAATCAAAACATTACATAGTTAACTTCTTTTTTTTCTCAAAAATTATTTAAACACTTGAAAATGCAGATATTATAAAGATGTTGACTTCAGTGGAAAGTGATTGCCCTTCTACATCCTTACCTTGACAGCAAATCTGAAACAATGATCAAATTATTCATTTTTTATTCAAACAATGTCTTCATTTTACAGGAGATTCTGACCAGTAGGCCACTCAGTAAGTGACAACACGTATGAACATGATATTCTGACGTAATTGTAAATAGGTGGAAGTAGTGTTTAGTATGAATCACTACATTTTAGTTTTAAAAGAAATATGCGTACAAGACATACCTCTGAAATACATACCGGAATTCTTATGTACAATATTTCCTAGATTATATTTTGAAAAAGAGCTGGAAAGGTCAATAATATTTCGCATAAAGAAAACATGCATTAGCTTACCTCATCAAATGGTTAATTATGTCCAGTTTTTTAACACTGATATTCCAGGCAGGCGCACCTCAAATGTTTTGTAAGCCCCTTGCGTGTTACTGTCCGTGTTCTTTGATCTAGCGCATCAAGACCCAAGTCGGTCGGACACGTTTTCTTTCACTTTCACTCTTTCTATCAATTTAAGGTTTTTCTTTCTTTCTAAAATCTACTCGAAGTCAAACAATTTGAAGTTGCCGAAACAGTCCGAGTTTTCATCATTTACAAAATTATCCATTTGACTATTTGTAAGTACACCCTTTGTCATTAAAAAAACACCACGCTAAATTTAACTTATTGTCTGCGAAACGATCAAGTCAACCTGTGTAACATTTTTACTATTAACGTAGTATCCAAAATGTCCATATTTGTTCTGCAGAGCAAAATACAAGACTTTCTCACTGAATAAGGAAAACTGCTTAGTTTGAGCGCAAACAACATGAGTCGTTCATTTTTTTACAGTGGTTCAAATTACCTTTGCAGCGAAGGAGCAGAGGCATCTAACGAATGTATTTCTATGTGTATTTCTAAAAATATTTATATGTTTAAATAAAGCAAACATTACGAGAGAGCTTAAATCCCCAAGAAAAATGTCGTGATGGTCATGCGATACAACAGTTACAGAATAAACATTCGGACTTCATCGGCTGGTATCAGCGCATGGGGCGGGAAAAGGGTCAATCATGGAAATTTATCTCGACGTTCCGTCTCGATTAATTTTCTATGATGGACTCTTGTTGTCGCTCAATGCGCTGATACAAGCCGGTAAAGTTTTCGTGTATATTCTATAACTTATACTTATTGACATTTTTGGAAGGACATTTGCTGATATGTATGTGAGTCAATGAGCTATTTGTTGTTGAGGCGACGTTTATGGAAGAATTGAAAACAAATCTGACAAAATATTAGGACATTTTGAACGGGCATTATGCCACTTTTAACAGTGAGGAAATAGTGTCTATGAAATAAAAACTCATTCACAAAGCTTATAAAGTCCATACGACCAGTATTTGTAGAATATTATTTGGTTTAAATTCACAAACTGGAATATATTTTGCAATAATAATTAGCTAGAAAAGTAGTTTTTTTTTCCTAATTTTCATAACTCTTACTGATATTTATTTCAGAACAAAAAGTGCCAGATGAAGAAGTAGCTTACGAAAATTTACGTTTAAAGCAAATGACTGTAACTACAAACTGATGCAGTGTTTCTTGCGACTTACACAAACATTTGATTGTCAGTAAAACTTAAATCTTTAAAAACTTATGAAATGTGAGCTTTGTATTTTAATTTAACTTCAATTTCTAGCATAATATATATAGAATATCAATTCATTGTGTCTCGTATGACATGATACTTTAAATGAAAGTATGTGCTTTTGTACGATTAAAGAACACTATATTGTAATCATATATAAAAGTTTGCTTCCAAATTTGCATTGCATATTATTTTTTTTCCTTCCTGGCACACGAAATGACATTCATTTTACCACTAGATATGTATTGTATGTATTTGATATTAGCACATGTTTTATTATTCATTTATCATTCATTTGTTTGACTTGAATGTCATCTTAAATGAGTTTGACTTCCTGTAAAATTTACAGGGCAGAACGGAATTTGAAAACGATTTTTCACTTGTCATTTTAAATAACAAATTGAAATCTGAGAATCTGGCCATTCTAAATAAGATATAAAGAATAGTAGTTGTATTATAAATAAAATATAAAGGATAGTACTCGCTTTTATAAAATACTGCTGTAAACGTGTAGCAACCTTGACAGAAATTGTTCCATTTTCAACAATATGCCATAGATTGTTTTGTATGATAAAGAAGTGAAAATACACAAATAAATAATTTAAAGTATATATTTATTTTAATTCTACTCTTAATTTCCATTTCATGATACTAATTTATGCTATAAATGTTAAGACTCTTATACGTGTTATGTGAATTATGCAAAATGCAAATATGTCAGCCAAAGACATTTTAGCTAGCGGAAACAATAAAAGCAACCAGTTTATTTACATAATGATTGGAAAATACCTCGGCATTCCCATAACGTCAAGCGGGAAAATATGACACCCCGAAGGCTCGTAGCCTCGTAAAATTCTGGCAAGCTGATTTTGTTTGGTAAAGCGTGTCACCTTACTTCATAATCTTTAGTTGTCGTGGCCTAATATCCATGTCAAAGTACACAAGTCACGAAAAGACACGGGTGATAAAATATGCTTATGTCATAGGACGAGAAATATTTAACTATATTTAGTTGTGTTTAATCGCGTCACATTCTAATAAAGTATGAAGTTAACCCAGTAAAAATATTGTGTGTTACTTGTCCAAAGTCGGGACCAAATATCCTGTTATGTCCTCTATTATCACTCGACTCTATCATCTGTACATGTCGTTAGTAACCTGTAATGTTATGTTTATTTGAGGATTATTAAAATTAACACCTTAGCTATATTACAGCTTTATTGTTTTACATTCATACATACACTGTAACTCTCTTTAAAAACATGATATACATAACATATTAAAACAACTATCTAAATAGCTCCACCTCTTGGGTAGGTACTAAGTGTCAGTCATCACATCCTCCCTTGATTTGAATAGTTTCTCACGTAAAATTCATAAACTAATAATATCTATGTCTAATATGAACAAATAGAAAACTAATTGCTTATAAGATAAATATAACACTTTAATGCGTGCTTATTAGATAAATATAACAATTTAACACAACTTCTAATGTCAACACACCCTTTGTTTGATAACACAATTATTATCCAAAGTATGGTTTTACATGACACACATTTCTGTAATAAATGTTGCCACTTGTACTTATCACCTTCACAGATGTCCCCTTTTGACTTACAACCCTACAAATATCATTTGCCTAATTAGTTAACATTTTATCTTTATTTTTCTCATGTCTGAGAATTAGGACTCTCTGCCCTATCTTGAATTTTATGTACCCTTTGGCCATATGTTTGTTTGCCCAATATTGAATTCTGCGTTTCTGTATCCTGTCCCTATTTCTCAATTTTGCGTTAACTCTTATTTCGTCTAACTGTGGAATTTTTGTTTTAACATCTTTGTTAAACATCAAAAATGCAGGTGCAAAATCTATTTGACCTAGGAAAGTATGGTGTTGTCCTACAATGTTTGATGCCATGTTCATGAAAAAATAACTTAAATTCCTCACTGCAAAACTTTGGTGCATTATCCGTTCTAATTTGACTGGGTTACTAAACATTGCATACCATTTACTTAACTGATTTATGATTGACTTACTTGTGGTTGACTTTAAACTTGCCACTAAAGGATACCTAGTGTAATAATCTATCAAATCCAACAGGTTCTCATTATTTATTGGACCCATAAGATCTATGCTTAGTTCTTTCCATGGGGAAGATGGAAGTTTTGTCATTACCACAGGAGGTTCTTGCGGGGTTTGAGACAACATCTGACATGCATGACAAGATTTTATCATGATTTCTACTTGTTTGTCTAAGTTTGGGAACCAAACTTTTTCTTTAATTAGCCGTTTTGTGTTCTGTATTACCATATGAGATGAGTGGGCGGATTGAAATACACGGGATTGTAAATGCTCTGGAATGCAGAGTTTATTACCCTTCAAGATAAGAGAATCTTTGACCGAAAGATTATGTCTGACCTAGTACACGCCCGGCAAACTGTCGCTCCACTTCAAAATTGTGGTATACGGTAAAACGAGCGAACGGCATTTCCGAGATAGAGCGGAAGGCCGATTTAAACGGATAATTGTAAGTGTAGTTTATGTTTTTGCCTCGTTATTCATTAATAAGTTGTATTTTTTCGAAACACGGAAAATGTAGTTCCGTGTAGGATTGATTTAGGCTTCCAATGATCTAAGTTGTTACAAAAAGAAAATTGTATCAAGCCTTGGAGAACTTTTCCCCCTGACGAAATGAACGACGATTTGTTAAATATCAAATTTCAATTCGTGAAAACGCTCTACACTTAGGATTTTTTTATTTTGTTTTACAAAAATATTAACCCGTAACAAGAGCTAGCCTTTCGCGCAAAATAAACTACTCTTGGTGGATTTCTTAAATTTGTATATCGATTTTTTTTCGAAAGTAGTGGAGGCAAAGGGCAAGAGATGGAGCGAAAGGACGGTTGTTGTGCGCAAGGCTCTATTGAGTTGGTATAAATAGCATAGTCTACGAATTTCTATAAAAAAATCTTTCAAAGTTAAAATAGACGTACTAAAATGTGAGAGCCGGAGAAATATGAAAATGTATTAATTTATTTTTACTATAACTAGGTATTTCAATTATTAGTAATTTTAGTCCGTACACCGACTGAGAACTGCCATTCTTATTAAGTTCGTTTTGTTCATAGATACTCTGAAAAAAGGAATAAAATTTTACGATATTTCTTTTAATTTATTTTTTTTTTCTTTAATTAATCAAAATTTGTACTGATAATATGCAGTGTTTGATTATAAAAGTATACATTTCCATATATACTTTGAGAGGAAAATGGTAAACTAAACAACAATGTTAAATAAGAAAAAAAAGTATCTTGAAACATAACTGAACCACTACAGTTAAACTATAACCCCCCTTCTCCGGGTCTCGTATCCCCTTCCCCTATGCTCCTTTATTTTGTAAGCTTGTTAAGCAGTCATTTATGTTTTTTCTTTGTTTTCCTTGTCAGCTTTTATGATTTCTTTTAATGTTTCATTTTAAAATTAGTGATTGACCTGTCCGTGCTTCGCAATTCGCCATGTCCTGTTTTTGTTTGAGGGCCTCCTGGGCTCCTTGTCACCGATTCTTGTTGCTGGGTCGCGTGGGGGTGGCGTTCATTGAACGCCGCCTTTCCTTGTTAATCTTGTTTATCATATTTCATATCCTTAGAACGACCGACACTTTGTCAACCATTTTCATAAAGATTCCCCACCTTACAAAAGTATTTCTATTTCAAGAAAACGTGGTTTTTTTGTGTTTGATCTGAACATGTACGTTAGAGCTATTAATTACAGAAAGTCATAGTAAAATGAACTCGGTAGTAGTGATCCATTTTATGTCCCCCGTGTATTGCATGATTTTGTCTCTGTTCTGATGTTGTCGAATTTGCACGGACACACGTTTTTAAATGTACATAACCGTGTCAAAAATCATGATTTGATTTCTGTGATATTGGTCAGAGGTTCGGCATTTAGGACTGCCCTGACTTTTGCGTCAGCAATTTTGATGCCATCTTTGGACAGTATATGACCCCTGAACTTAAGTTTAGTTTTACAAAACTCACATTTGTCACGGTTCAGAGTAAGATTTTTTTAACGCAACCTTTGTAAGACACGGACAAGGGCTTTATCGTGTTTTTCAACAGAGTCTGCATAAATTATTATGTCATCAGCAATACTTTGTCAATTTGGAATAATTATCTTGGAACAATTGCTGGATGATTCTCTGGTGTGTTTCTGGGGCAATATTAATACCACAATTTAATACTTTGTACTGGTATAAACCCTTGTGACATACAAAAGTGGTAATATATCTTGATTTTTCATCTAGTTCTATCTGGTGAAAAGATTGTTTTAGATCTAATTTTGCAAATATTACAGATCCATTCATCTGCATCAAAAGCTCCTCTATATTTGAAATATAGGAAATCTTTCCCTCAATATAGCTTTATTTGCCACTCTCATTTCAACGCAAAGTCTTACATCATTATTTTGTTTTGGGATGGGAACTAAATTGGACACCCAGGAAGTCGGACCCTCTACCTTTTCAATAATATCAAGTTTTTTCTAATTCGTCTATCTTTTTCTCAACTATTTGTGTCATTTTATATGGAATTCTTCTGACATTTTGTGCTACTGGCTGAACAGATTCATCTATATAAAGTTTCAATTTAAAACCTTTAATTCTTCCCAATCCTTGAAATCTATCATTAAATTCAGACAAAATAGATTCTGTTGTTTGCTGTTGACCTAATTTAATTTGTGCTGGTTCAAGAGAATGAAATTTTCTAGGCGGCAATGGGCCAATATGAAGTAAACCCAACTTTAAAGCAGTGTCATGGCCTAAAAGTGGTTTGCCTGTACCTTTGAGAATTCGAAACTCTACACTGTGTGTTTCATTATTTACCCTTATGTTGAGATATGCCATACCAATAAGTTTTATTGGTGTTTTGATACCATAAGGATATACCTTAGAACTTGTGGGAAGTAAGCTAGTGTGTTTATGTTTAAGTTTACTAAACAAATGTTCATCAATGATATTGACAGATGACCCACTATCAATTAAAACATCAAATGTTTTATTTTCAAGGACAATTTGAGTGGCAGCATTCTTACCAGAAATTGTGAAATTGTGTATATTTCCTCACTGCTTTATCCATCAAAATTATCTTTTTCTAAAACATTTACACTTTTACTTTTACACTGTTTTGCAAAATGGTTCTGTTTTCCACATTTGAAACATGTTACACCTACAGACTTTTTACACTGTTGACCATAATGTCCGATATCCCCACACCTGTAACACTTTGCTGTGCTAATGTCATATTTCTTCCTTTGTTGATGATAGTTTTGTTGGTGGTGTTGTCGTCTTGACTGTATTTCAAAACTCGAGGCTGTGCTTGTCTTCTTGATCTAGAGCGCAATTTGTTAACTTCTACTTCGTCGACTAAATCATCTTTCTTGTTTAACATTAACTTCGCTTGGGTGTCAGATAATTCTAAGGTTCTTGCTACTTCTTGGAGTCTTTCTCATGTTAAGGTTTTTGTTGTTAAAAATTTTTTTCACAAATCGTCAGATACACAAGATTCTAAAACATGATCCCGAATTTGGTTGGGTTTGGTCAATAAACTCACAGGACACTGCCTATTTCGGCAAACGAACAACATAGTTATCAATTGTTTCACCACACATTTGATTTGATTGATTAAACACATGCCTTTCGTATTGAATATTCTTTTTGGATTTGAAATAATTGGATAGATTGTCAGCTGCATCCTTATATGTAGTTCCAGGGCTGCCTAAGCTATCAAAGACATCTTCGTTCATTCAACGCTGCCTTCCCTTGTTGATCTTGTGTATAATATTTTGTATTTTTGACCCACCGACATGCAGTAACAATGCTCTATTTTGAGAATCTTTAGTAACTCCAGCTGCTTGGATATATATTTCAAATCGTTTTTCGTATTGTTCCCAAGCTTTTGATAAATTTGTTTGCTCCCCAACTACTATAAATGGTCCTGGTGTTGATAGTTCAAATTTGGCTGCCATCAGTTTATTTCATGTAGACACTGTTTTAATTGTTTTCTTTGCTTATGTATTTAAATTGTTTCACTCAGATTTTTGTTTTAAATTAATCTGCTTAATTCCACATTTATTGTTTTGGCTTGCATTTTTTTATTGAACTGTTTAACATGAACTATTGTTTTACACTTTTATTGTTTTTAAAACACTATTATTGTTGTTTTTTCACACTTAAATTGTTTTCAATTCCATTTGTTTGAAGGAATTAAAATTGATTTATTCCAACTGTTTCAAGATCAGAATATTTGTTTTAATCCTCATTTATTTGTTGTCTTTAAACTTTATCTTCATTCTCGTCGCCAATGTAACATTATGTTTATTTGAGGATTATTAAAAATCAACACCTTAACTTACAATACAGCTTTATTGTTTTACATTCATACATACACAGTAACTCTCTCTAAAATGCATGATATACATAACATATTAAACAGCAATCTAAAAAGCTCCACCGCTTGGGTGTGTACTAAGTGTCAGTCATCACATAACCTGTCACCCGTAGCTGGATTATCCTGTGTGCGATGCTTCATTGCACTTTACATATTGTCATAGGATACTACATTTACTTTTATATTTTGTAAATATTTGTTATAAATATATATCTTGTATATTTACAGGTTGGTTATCTTACATTATTCGGAGTTAACATATAATAGAATGTGAAATTTGTATACTGTAAATCCGGTATTTTTCGCGATGTTTTAATTTTTGCTATATGTATGCAAGTACATTTTGTATATAAAATAAATAAATAAAAAACGTCTCTTATTAACACCATTAACATTGACCTTGTATAAGAGCGACACAGTATAGGATTTACCTTCAACCTACCCTGTTATATTGCGGAAATAAAATTCAAATAATCGCGAATATAAATTTCTGACCCTGCCTTCGCGAATTCATGAATTCGCGAAATAATCTGGGTCGGGGTTTTCGCGAAGTAAAGATCACGTGAATATTAAGCAATTTTCAGTATAGTAAATAAGAGTAAGATAAATAGAGATTAGTTTACTCACCTTTTTGACTTAGGATATGTACATGTAACCTTCATAAGATGTTAGTACTTTATCATATAAACAAACAATTCATAGCAATTGATGTAATTTTCTGTAAATTGCTCCATACATTTTATCAAAGCATATGTACTAGGTTTATTATTATATTTTGTGAATAATTGTTATAAATATCTTTGATATTTACAGGTGTTGCGTCCTTTGTCTTATATACATGAACCAATACAAATAACTGCCGACTGGCCTACGTCGACACTTATGAGTAAACATATTTTTTTTTTAATTATAACTAAATATTTTGCGTTTGATGTCCAGTGACAATGCTTTTCTTATATAGAGAAATACAAATACGTTTAGGGACTTTGAGATAAATCATCTTATCAGATTTGAACGACCCTTTCTACTGGTAGCATATTTGCAATCGTGCAGAAAATACCAGGGATACTCTTTTTATATATTTTTAGATAACTTGTCAAGATTTAAACACAAAAATTACATTTTTACGACCAAGAATAATCCCCCTTTGCTTTAGAAATAATAACAGTGGCAAAATGGCATTTTACAGTTTAGTTATCTTGTTAAGTACCATTCGTTGTTTATGTCGGATCCTTCATATGTGTCAGTTGTTATTATCGAAACTTTGTCTATGGTTTAACTCATTTCTATAACACATTTACGACAAGCGAGGTTTAACGTACGCGTAAAATGGCTGCGAGGGAATGATTGCATTGCATACCTTTAGAACAGTCGTATAAAATGCTACCTAGAAGAATGTCTGTTTAGATCTGCGCAATTGTTGAAATCAAAGGCACGGAATTCCACGCTCGTACTTGTTAAACTCGTTTTATAATGTGACACGACGGGTACTCTTCAGTCAATGTCGTAATGTGCCAGGAATCAGGCAAATTGTGTCTTAATTATATATAGACAATGTTGTAATGATTTATCATAATGCCTTGCACATTAATTAATTACAAATGTATATCCCTATTAAACGATATATAAACTTAAAATAAGCAAATGGCCAACGATAAAACATCAAATTTCAGCATAAACGTAGTATATAAGACATTGCAGACATCAGACCCGTTTACCAAATACAGCACACGTGTGACCTCGATTTACTATAACAAACGCGGCTACCAGAAATAGGTCCGCATAGAACTATCAAAATCATATCAAAAGAGAAAAAAAAAGATAAATTACTTCAAAACGAACATGTTTCCTTGTTTAACAGTTCCTCTTTAGGTGGAGGCAACGTGTTTACGCATGATTTAATTTTAGCCTGGTTATAATAAATTTCGGTAAACTTAACACAGTTGCACAGTGAACGTTTTTATGTACTCGTGTTTTTCTTATTGACGACTCGCAAAAAAATCGTCATTCCGCAGTAAATCATGCGTCTTATTCAAAAGCATATAAGACTCGGCTTCTCTCATTTACATCAATCATTGAACTTTAAGTTGAATACATACCTGTATTTTTTAGTGTAAAAGTATTTTGACATCAGTTAGCAGTCTGTTTCAAATTTGCCTTCACCAATCTATAACATCTATATGGATCGATGTGTAAATGTAAATGCTGTTAAGGTTGGGTAAATCGAGTACATTCAGTCATAAACAACCTTGTTTTCTCAGATTTATTGTACCGCAATCAATGAATTTGTTTTGATAAAAAAGAACTTGAAGAGACCCGTTCATTCAAGAATTAAATCCCTCTTTGAATAATACATCAAAACTAGATTACTATAGGAACTCTAAATCTGTGTTTTGTTATGAGACATGTTAAAAAACTCATCATCAATGATTGATTGAGAAAGTCATTCACCTGCTCACAAAATAAGCAAATAACTATTGAAATTATAGCTGTTTAATAAAATATTAACTTACATATTTTTGTACTATATGTTTGTCAATGGTATTGCTTGTTTTAGCCATACTGAAAATATCATTTTTTAAATGGCCAAAGACAATTTCTTTTGCTAATTTGCAAATTAACTTTGTTTCGTTGCCTATCCAATTATTGTTTGTTGGTTAACTGGTAGATTGTTTGTGCAATTTCGGTTGCAAAAGTCACCGTCGCAACAAGCTCGACAAACTGGTACAGCTCTTGTCTCATGGACTAGTTGTCTACTTTTAGATGAGCAGTGCTAAAATAAAATTTTACATGATAACATTTTTTTTCATGAATAAATGATACATGTCAATTTGCGTAATAAATAAAAAAGATTTCTGGTCGTTTATGCAAAATGATTAAAAAAATATATCAATAATAGTTATACGTTAATAATACTGAGGCCCTAAAAGAATGTTGGTGACCGATCAGACATTTCTCGAACATATTGGTATAAGAAAATTGTATTATACTGAAATTGTAAAATATTTCTTGTGGTTACACGTCGCTTAAATGGAAGCGGTCTATAAGAAAGCAACAAGTTAGATATTTATGCTGCACATCCAATACCGCACCAAAAGATTTGAACAGACACAGGTAATTACAGTTGAATATCCTAAGCAATTATCACGTTTTCTTTGTATGTGCTCGTTGTTTGATAACTTGCATATTTTCGTGAAAAATTTAACCTAATGCAAAAATTCACAAAGTAATGTCATGTCTGAAACTCTGAATAAATAATTGTTTGTCTGTTTCGACAAAGATTGAAGGGATTGCTCAAAGCAAAATAATAAATCGCGTTAAAATTACAAAAATCCGCCGAGCCTTTAGTGTCAAGAAATGCCCTCCACCTTAGGCTTAATGTTTGTACACTGAATTTAAATTATTTAAATCAATCCACTTTTACTTTTAAAAGTAAGTTTACAGTTATTCGTGTTTGTTGTGCTTTGCAGATGCTTTATCTACAATTACTCTTAAATAATAATAAGGAGGCAACAATCGATTGAAAAAAATGCATAACGGTTGTTTAAAGAATTGCGATAAATTATACCCTAATCTCTGGTTCCCTGTCTAAAATTTGATTTCCGTCATAAAATATAGACTGTCTCATTGACACGTTATTAATTAGGTATATAAAAAGGATGAAAATCAAAAGACAATGATAAACATTATCACTTAAGTTTATTTCAGTTGCTTAATGCTTGGTGACATGTTGAACACCAGAAAAGCTATTTTTATTGGAGACTCTGAAAACAGTGTAATTGTTTGTTAAAACAAAGACAAAATGAAAAAAGAAAAACTTAAATGTTCCAAGTTGCTGAATGGGCGAATGCATATCTACTAGTCGCCACGTACAGCCACGTGCACGGGACGTCTAACAAGATTTTCTTCCATATTGCGTTTTAAATATTAAAGCTTACTTACTATCTTGCTTTCACATCCTAAGTGGTACTGGAATGAATCTCCCCATTTCACCTTTTCAATCCTACAGGACTAAGAATGAGTTGACAATTAACCATACAGTTTTTATTTCATTCACATTTTATTCAAAGTAGGCATACTATCTTGGATAAAAAAACCGTAACGATGTATAACATTAAAAAAAATAAGTGTGTATTTCATATATTTAAAGTTCTATAAGGAACATGCCTGCAGACGGAAATGAAATTAAACTTGAAATCTAATGAGAATGTAAGGACAAATGATTAAATCATTATAGCTTGTAAAGAAATAACCCCAACAGCAGATATTATAAGAAACCTGGTTATATATTTCACTGTTTACGTTATCATTGACTTTGTATAAAATATTTAATTTGCTGATTTAAATACAAGCTAAATACCTCGCTCGAAGAACACAATGCTATTTGATCGCAGTCTATTGGCTCGCTAACATGCGCACAATCTAAACAAAGTGGACCTCTTTTCTGTCGAGGTGGGAACGCTTTAAAAATCAATTTATTTGTTAAGTAAAAAGTGTTTTACATTGTAATTAACAGTCAGTTAGAGCCAAACCACATTCCAAACTTAGAACAATAAAAGAATAAAGAAAGTTTAAAGGTTACATTTGTTTATTAATTTATTATAGTAATTAGATCTCCGGATAAAAAAACTATGATTATATATTATGTTAAATGTATCGCATTATTTTATTGGCAGACAAATAATTGAATATATTTAAATGTGTGCATAGTTATAATAATGCAAAGTAATAATAAAACGAAAATTTTATCTATCTTGCGTTTGGAAAATCTTTAAGCTGTATATTTAACACTCCAAATACAGGACTTTAATTTCTCTAATTAGCTTGAATGTCAAACATACGTCCGACAATTAATACTAAAAAACAAAATACCAAAGAACAAATGAAAAATCAAAATCAATTGCATATATTTTGTCAATATCATTTATTTCTTAATTATCGACCACCATGCTAGTTCTTTAGTATATTCGATTTGAATGCTTCAAAGGTCGCACGTGCAATATAATTTCTTCCGATCCGGATCATTAACTCTTATGCATTAATAAATAATGCTATTTAAAGATAAACTCAGCATTCTGGTTACTGTTAACTTTTGTGCATCAAAAATATTCTCGTTTTTTTTTACAATATTTAGAAACATTTTACCTGTGCCACCACAACCTTGTGAATTACAAAAACTTGTCTCACAACATTGCAGACAACTAGATGTCCCATTAAAGGAATGCTGCATACATGTCTAAAATATAAAAAAAAGATTCTCTATTTGAAATGGGCCTGTTATGTAGGTTTTTGTTTTTCTTTCCTATTTATCTTCTTTTTTCACTTTAAGGGTAGTCATATATCCTTTTGATTAGATAGCAACATTGACAATTAAAATAATTGTATGCAAATGATTTAGATAAATTATATGTGTAAACCTGTATATCTTTACATCCAGAACTGTAATGTGTATGACCATTATCCAAGGTATACTTCTCAACAAAACATATCTGAAGTTCATAGAATATACCTTTTGAAATATTTTTGTGCTAATGACCAAAGAAAAATAATTAGATAAAGAAATGAATAAATAAATAAATAAATAAGTAAAATAAGTAAATAAAAAACTAACAAACCATTGTAGATAGTAAATATTTAAATGCAGTGCATATCTGAATTTTATCGATTCTACAGTTTTAAAGATTCAAGATTCCTTATAAAGTAACGTTCACAAGTTATTTTTGTTATACATGGCATAATTAACATAAACGCATGTAACATATGACAAATATAAAAAAGGATATGGATGATTAAACTTACTGAAAATAAATTAAGATAATGAACATATACTAGGGGATAAACTATGATAGATGCTACTAATATAACACAGGCATATTTCACATTACATTTACCCTACATTATCACATATTTAAATTAGAATACTATATGCAACGCGTAAATAAGTTTAGAAATTATATAAACATATACATGGTTACGCGAAACAGCAGCCTTAAATTGAATAATTATTGTTGTTAACAATGCTTTTATCTTATTATAAATGCTTCTCGTATGTGTGTCCATAGTTTAAATACTTCAGAATAGATTTCAATTGCATATGTTCTATAAATTTTCAAACACATGGTCTGTTATAATAGAAATAATATAAGGTTTGGGATATGATTGTATGCTGAACAGATACAAATAAAATGATATTTATCTTTGAGGTCAGCGCTGTTGCAAATCATACAATGTCTTTGGTTTCGTTCAATTTTACTTTTACCATAGCGGCAAGTTTGAATTCGAATAAAAATATCAGGATTGTTCCATAAACATTAAAATCCATTTTTAATATATTTCTAATATTATTATTTTATATATGATTTTGAAATAAAATTGTTTACCTGGTTGCCATGACAGCGGTCAACAGAGTCGCATAATTTCAGATCTATAATGTCATTGCAGGAGAAACATATTTTATCACTGTTACGCGCAATATTCGCTACAAACAAAACAATAAACAAGTTTTGAATCGATTACCTAATATAATAAGTATTACCCTATTCTAAACTTTCTTCTTATATTGTAATATATTTGTTCCATAGTAATGAAGGTTGGACAATCTGATTTTCTACAACTTTTTCTTTTGTGTGTCAATCTTATGAAACATTTGACAGTGAATTAAATTCTTTCTTTTTTTCTTCATAATTTTAAAGTCGACTCTCGAACAATTTGAAACATAGAATGTCTCTATTGTATAACACCTATAAATATTGTGAAAATAAAATGAACCGAAACATATGCTGCTATGTTAAGTACTAGTATCATTTTTACAGTTAAGCATTGATTTCATCAACGCGCCATTCATTTTTAAAGCAGCATGACCATTTTTCCTGAACATTTTTAAGTTTATCTTAAACAATTCACACATTGCAATGACAGTCATATTAATATATTCATTTATGAAGATTTCTTACTGTGAACGAAAAATGTTGCTATATTTGAAATGACAGCTTGAATCTCAGGTTGTGTGTTAAAGGCTTTACAGTTAGCCTGTTTATTATGATCGCTGTTTTGTGGGTTGAATGTAAAGGATATATAGGTTGATCTTTGTTTTTCTTCTGTACTAATATACCATACTATTGAAGCTGCCGATCTGCTTATACTTGTTGCACATGTCAGAGTTTTACTTACACCACTCATAACTCATACTATTTATTCTATCTTTAAGTGTACTATTTGATAGCTGAACTGAATAAAGGAAAGGCCAGTAAGTAAAAATATTTATTTATCTACCGCTATAAGAGGATGTAACATGATCAATTAAACTTACACCACAATAGAAGTAAATACGATGGCACATATAAAACAAGGTACAATGTATCATGATTATATAATATACTCTTTAAAGAATACATTGACTACTTGTAAATTACCGTAAGACAGTTCTCAATCGCGTATCAATTGATAGATCCCTACACTGAACTTTTATGTGAATGACAATAGACAATTTGAATGACACTTTGACAGATATGCTGTGGTAAAATAATAATTGTATCCACTAATTTTATGATTAGAATTAGACAGATCAAGGATCTATGCATAGCAATATCTAATCAAAATACTGTTCGATTATGGATAACAATCATGTTGCTTGCTTCTTTGTATCGGATATGGACCGAGTATGAGGTATTACTGCTGAAGAAAGACCTGGTCGACAATTTAATGTTTCATGAAATAATGTCTTTCTAAAGCAGAAAGACCGATAATCGAAGTCGATATCCAACATACACACCGTCATCCTTTTGGCTTGAGCAATGGCTAATCCGCAGCATTTGATATAATGCACAGATTATTTACACAGCGCATCTACAGTTAAATTCTATTACGTTATGCTTAAGAATAAACCAAATGTTGCATTTAACTCTGTTTTTCTATATAGAAATAACAATCTAAATGCTAAATATGCAATTTGCCAATATTTAAAAGAAAATTGGTCCGTAATATAACTCATTTAAAACAATGAATAGTTATGATGATAGTTCTTTGTGTCCGCATTTACAACAGACCACGAAATATGTACATGTAAGTACGAAAGGCCAGTAGGGTCATTTCAACTTCATGAATTCCCGACTTCATCTTCAAGAATTCAAATTTTTAACTTCGTGAATTCACGTTTTCAACATACGGAATTCACGAATTCACGATTTCAACTTCATGAATTCACGATATTCCACTTCATGAATTCGCGATTTCAACTTCATGAATTCACGATTTCAACTTCATGAATTCACAATTTCAACTTCACGAATCAACTTCGTGAATTCATTATTTCAAATTCACTATTTCAGCTTCATGATTTCACGATTTCAACATCATGAATTCACGACGAATTCGCGATTTCAACTTCACAAATTCATGATTTCAACATAATGAATTCACAATGTTAACTTCAACGTTTATGCCACGTGGCCATGATGTCATTTGTCGCCATATCGAATTGGTAATGGAGTTGCGTGAAAAAAATGTTTAGTGCTCTTTTACTTAAACAGTTTTATCTATCATTATTTTCATTATAAATCTGATTAAAGTATTTGTAGGAAAATTATTCATATAAGTTGGTTTTAAAAGTACATATATGGAGATCTAGAACACATACAACCCGCTATATTCTAAATAAGAAACCGTATCTAAACCAGAAGTTAAAATACTGTTTAAAATATACATCAGGGTTTAATCTCTGTGCATCTGTTTGTCAGAATTGCTTTTTTCATGTACAAGATATAATAGTTTAAGTAATTCTTGTGTTACATCCAATTGCAGACGCTGGTGTAATCTTTCATCATTATTTCTATGGCATTTCCTACATTGGCAACAGGAGAACGTATTGTGAATAAAGAAGCGATGATGGATTAGATAGTTCATTATTTCTCTTTGGGATATATATAAAACAAGATATGAGCTAGTCTTCTGTTTGTTCGTGAAATAAAAGTCGTTTGGATCATTGATGCCAGCACTATAAAGTGTTGATAATTAAGTACCGCTCAAGCCGGTGCTAGGGTGCGTGAGGGATGTTATTCATTATCCCTCGTGTATAAACCGAGTCTGCAATTCTCTTGTAATATCGTCGCTAAAAAAATCATAAAGAGATAAAGAGACTACATTTACATGTGCGAACCATAGAATCAAATAATGAAGATAATGTTTTCGTGCAATACTTGGATAACTATCTTAATGTGGTAAATTGTTTGGTTATAAAGCAATGTGAAAAAGACTTCAACTTCAATATGGTCTAAATGCACATCGGTCAACAGTGATAAGATTCTTGTCGATAGCAGATCAAGATGGCATGAAAGGAAGAAAACGCATGTGGATTTTTCGTAGGAAGTATTCGTGTCCGGGTCCAAACTTCATATGGCACATCGATGGATACGCTCAACTAAAACATTTTTGTTTTTCATGAGCCGGATAGTGTCGTAAAATACGGTGGCTTGAAGTTGGAACCAGTAATAACTAGAACTATCGCTGAATGCGATTCATACCCCAACCAATGTCCTTGACAGACGACGACTAGGAAAGGTGGTTAAGGGGGGAATAACTTAAATGGCACAAATATATATGCATAAAAAGAAATTATCTCTGGTTAAAAAACACAAATTGCACAGGAAGTAGTATAAATATATATTGTCAAATCATGTTCGAAACAATTACAAATAACTTTTCATTTTCCCAATGTACTAAAACAAACAAAAGCAGTGAATTTAAGAAAATAGCATGATTATGTCAAAATGTAATTAAGGGTGGAAAAACTTTGCATACTGAGCTTACTTGTGACCTTTCATATATTATATAGTTTCAAGTGAATATCTGTTCTAGTTTCAGAAACATTTAAGTATTAATGGTTATATCAGAACATTTTCTAAGCCTAAAAAGGGCATTGCTTGTGTCATAATTCACTGAAATTGTAGAATTTTCGTCATCTGAGCTTGCTTGTAACCATTCATATACATGTAAAGTTTCAAGTAAATATCTGTTCTGATTTAAGAAATATTATAGTAAATAAATTCAAAGACATAAAAATGGACTTAACTTTGTCAAAATACAATACAAAGTTATCCCCCCACTTTTTGTAGTTATAAATTTTACCTGCATATCTCACTTGCGACACTTCGTATATATTTGAAGTTTCAAATGATTATCTGTTCTAGTTTTAGAAATACTCAAGTACATGTTAAAATTTAAGAACATTTTCTAAGTCAATTTTTGACCTTCAAGTGTGACCTTGAACTTAAGCCGGCAAAAGGAAATCTTTCAATTAGTGTAGGACTTAAAGAGCGTACGCGACATACTGTCAAATATTTAATTGTTTGATATTTGAAATTCAATTATTACCTTGACCTTTAGCTTACACATGGGCAAAATGGGTTCTGCACATCCCCTTGTTTAGGTGCACAGAGCCAAGTTTGAAGAAAATCCTTCAATTGGTATAGGATTTAGAGCGCGGACACGATAATGGAAACGGACGAACGGACAGACCGACCGACGCGACAAAGCGAATCCATAATAGACCCCAGGACAAACTTCTTGGACACCATAACCAGTTTAGGCGGGATTGTTCTAAGAATTGATCGAGGAACTGAAAATGTCACTGTAGGCCAACTACAAATATTTTCCAGATTAGGACATACCGACGGCAATGCAGCAGACTGAGGTTTTATCGTTGGCAAAAGCACGACTAATTAACGGATCGAGTCATTGTGGATATTAAATCTGTTATAGAATAATTGTATATTACTGTTGCTTGAATTGAACTTTTCTTTTATTATTCATTTATTTCGGTTCATATTACATAATTAATCTTATCATTATATGACTTGCAATTTTGTCTTTTTAAGTAAAAAGCATAAAATGGTAGCCGTTATTATGATCTGGTTTAATAGTTTTTTATCTTTAAAGTTGAATCGTCTTTAATGGGTAAGTTTTCCAGTAGGTGTTTCATATGTATATAAAGACAGCAGTATTATATAACACTTTTGTGTCTCGTCTAAGAACCAGGTCCCTTCTTTGAAGATCTAGGTAACACTTATATTTTGAACGTCCACGCTATGGCAAGTAGAGATTATAGGTTCACATATTCGTGTCCGGACTATTAGTATGTCATGCATTTAAGACATTCTAAATAACTTGGCACACATGTCTACCACATCAAGATGACGTGCTGTGTACCTCCAAGGTCGGGGGCGTCTGTGGCCGAGTGGTTAAGGTCGTTGACTTCAAACCACTTGCCCCTCACCTCTGTGGGTTCGAATCCCGACAGGGACTTTAGATTCTTCCATGTGAGGACGCTTTCCAGCTAGCTTACGGAACGTCGGTGGTTCTACTCAGGTACCCGTTCGTGCCTGAAATAATGCACGGAAGGGCACCTGAGGTCTTCCTACACCAGCAAAGCTGGCACGTCACGATATGACCTATACTGTGTCGATGTGACGTAAAACCAAACAC